ACTTTACAGCAATGCCTTTTTTCTCTACAGTTGATCTGAGTAATGTGATGTCGATTCTAGCCCTAGTCTGTTTTCGGTCTTGGTCTTGGTCTCGACCAATCTTGGTCTTGGTCTCGCCTTAGTGTGTCTTGGTCTTGGACTTGGTCTTGGTACCCTCAAGTCTCGGCAGTGTCTTGGTCTTGATACCCTCCGGTCTCGGCAATGTCTTGGTCTCGGTTTAGGCAGTCTTGACTACAACACTAGTTCCAAGAGCCCTGTTCGGGGTCCTGATCCCCAAGAGAGACGTTAAAGAGCTCACCACCCCCCCAAAGGCTGGACTTATAGTAGTAAAAAAAAAAAGAAACAAGAGAGGGAGATGCTATCATTATTCTGTATGATTAGCTTTCCTTGTTTTTTTTTTAATGGTACTTTCCTTTTTCCTTTTCTGTTTATTTTTCCTCTCTTCATGGGCACTTTCTATTGTCTGCTTTTCATATGTTTCTGTCAGGATTCTTGTCCTCACACACTTTCGGTTTGATTATGTTCTGGGCTGCTGACTTCTGACCCTCTTTGCTTCTGCAGATTCACTATACCCTACTTCCTTTACCTAACTATTTTTATGTACCTGTGCAGTGTTGACCTGTCAATATTTCTGTCTTTTGCCACTGACCTGATGGATTTTCCACCTTTGACATCAATAGCTATTCTCCATCTGTTCAAGGGGTGTTGAGCCTCAGCTGGTTTTCCTCTTGTAGGTTCTAGGCATGATACCATTTCTATAATGGCCAGCATATGAAAACCAAACCAGTTGTGTAATGCTCAATTGAAATATCATTTTTTACTTCAGTGCCATAAGTGACCTTTGTTGACTTATTGTGGTGTAAATTGGACCCTTGGTTCACTTGCCCCTTAGCCACCATTTTGGAAAAAATGGTCTTGCTAAGCAATTCAGGCTAATCTTTAGCAAAGTGATTCACATGGTTTTATGCATTAACAAATCACCAACATGTATAATACTATTTCTTCTTATACCTGGGTAAGTTTGCTGTAGATAACTTACTTTGAGCAAAAACTGTTTTCTGTATACAAAATACACTCACATGTGCTCCTTTCCACCACAGTAAAATAGAAATTATGGGTTCTTTCTGAATTTATAGTCACATGAAAAAAAACATATGCACAGTTGCTTACTTAAAGGGGTGAGTCAACTTGCCCACTAGTTCATCTTACCCCACTCTCCCCTACAGGAATGCTTTTTCAGGTGCGCAATCAACATAGACAATCTTATTGTCAAAATAATATTGTCATGACTAGAAGTTAAGTTCAAAGTTGAAAACACACAAAATGAACGTTTGGTTTGTTCAGTCGACATGGACAGAAGGCATATAGGCATAATTTTGGCACAAATGGAACCCCATAAGTTATGACTGTTGTGCTGACAGGCTCCCTGTCCAATCAGAAACAAGCATGTGATGATCAGTAGACACACACCCTTTCCGTTTTCAGTGCCGCTAATTTTGTAGTACTTTTGTATTTACTGGCATGTTTTGCCCTTCAGGGCTTCTGTAGTTCCGTAGCATGTTGTGGTGTGTTTGCTTTAACTGACGATAAGCTCAATCACAGTTAAAAAGCCATCCCTCTCCATGTCTCAGTTCTCTATGTCGACCCATTACAATAACCTATATTTCTCATTGAGCCATACGAGAATTGTTTTGTCTTGGGATTGTATTGTAGTGCCAGGCAGACCATGGCATCGCAATAGCAGTGAAGGACTTGCTTGCCGGGATGAACAGCCTCATTATCATAGTGATTATCAGGACTGTAACAAGCACCCAATGAGCACCGAACCAAAGGTAATAGGGAAACACATGGAGGTCAGATGCCAAACTGTAAGGTACACACACGATGGGAGACTTATATAAAGCTATGGACATGCGAGGATCAGACGGGGTCCACATAAAACGGGGGCAGCATACATGCCGAAACAAGGAAATACAACCATATAACTCCAGCAATTTAACAAAGGCTATTTACAAGACACAGACAGGGGCTATTTACAATTGCCTGCAAGCTTGCTATGATATGCTGATCCCCACTGGCGCTACACTGCCCCCCCTGCAAAGGTCAACCGTCCACCAGTCCCTACCTCAGTTCTGAAGAAAGTCCCAGCTGTCCAGTGGCAGCCGCCAGTGCCTCCAATGAAGGAGGGGACGAGATGTTCGCAGGTAAAGGCGCCAACCCTTCCTCTTGTGCACCTTAAGGGGACCTAATGACCCCTCCAGGGGGTCTCCCTGGCTGGGGAACCCCACAAACAGTGATTCTCACAGCTAGGCCCCCTTCTCCGGGGGACAGCCAGTGCAAGAGGCTGCTGCGATTGTGCTGCAGTGCGGCTTCCTTCTGGCTCTTCTTCCTCCTCTGCTGTGTGGGGCCCTGATGTTGTGTATCAGGTGGGTCCTGCCATGGGGCCTCCTGCACAGCTGCTTCTGCTCCAGGCGGATAGCCTCTCAGTAGGGCCTCCTCCTCGCACCACTCACGGATTTCCTTTGTGTGCTGGGCCTCCACCTCCAGCAGTTCATGGTGCTTCTGGGCCGGCTGGGTTACTAAACTGCAACACGCCTGTTCCCAGCCAAGCAGTGCCGTTTCATGGCCCCATAATGGTCCCGCTCCCACTGCTGGTCAAGCTCACGGTGTTCCCAGGTTAACTGGGCCTCCCAGCTGCGGCATACCTCCTCTCAAGTAGAACAACCTCTGCCTGCTCGTGCTCGCAGGTGGGGTTGTGCCATGGCTCCTTGCAGCTGACGAGTGGGGAGCCCCTGACGCCCGGTGAGTCCGCTGTGGTGCCTGCCCTCCTTGGTCATCCCCGATGAGGTTCTGGCGAGCTGGCAGAAGTGGCTTCAGTGCGTGCAGTGCGAGTCCGGTACACTTGCCAGGATGGAGCAGAGGGTGCCTTTTTCGCTCCTGTGTCACCTGCTCATCTGCTGGCAGCTCTGGTGTGGGCTTCTGGGCAATGGCATCTCTCCAGCATCTCTCCCATCTCTCCCCCAGCACCAGCAGACGAGCTTCACGTGCCTAGTCAGTATTCTCGAGTGCTGCTGCTTCTCAGCTGCCACAAGGTGCGTTAAACTGGAACCGGCTTGCCAGATAATCTTGTACAGCACCTGCTCCAGCCACTCCAGTGGTGCTACAGTGAGACCATTGTAGCGGACCGTGGCATCATGATAGCAGTGAAGGATGAGGAGACTTGCTTGCCAGGAAGAACACACTCTTTATTATAGTCCTACAGCACAGAACCGATGGTAATAGGGAAACACATGGAGGTCAGAACCTACAGTAGGTCCCAGAGGTGTGAGGTAACAGCGCTAACCACTGCAGCACCATGCTGGCCCTTTATGGTTAGTTAGAGTTATTATCATTGGTTGTGGACGCACATCACCTACACACAACCATGTGTTTCCAATTTAGTCTGTTTCTACCTCGAATGTCTATCGAGGTTTTTAGTTATGCTGTCTTCTAAAAAATGGCAACTTAGCTTAGTATGAAGCCCTCTGCATTTGATCAACCTCAGCAGCTGCCCAGCTGTCAGCTTCCAACTAAGGATGAAGTCTTCATATGCTACCTATGGCACAGATATAAATTATCTGAGCATGGTGAGGAAAATGCCAGCATGAAAGAGTTTACCTGCTTGCAGACAACGTGATAACCATATGGAATGAAGGAGGTATCTCTTTGATACCATATCACAGTGTTCTTGTTAGCTTGGAAAAGTTAATTGAAAAGGGCAAGGATTTACAGAAGTATCTACTAGTAAAAAGAATTTCTAAACCATTTCAATGTAATAAAAACAGATTTAGAGAACTGTTTGACATTTGTACTTGCAAGTGTTTAAATAAAGGATTCCTCATGAGAGTCGATGTGCCATCAAGGTTCCTGCCATTGAGCAAGACTTCTTTCATGATCAAGTCAGACAGAAAGATGGTAGCAGGACTTGTGGATGAAGAGATGACAGCAGTGCTACAAAAAGGTGTGAAAGATGGGAGCCCTACAGGCAAAGTATGTTACAAGAACCTTCAACAAGCACAGCAAGAGCTGACCAGGACATGAGTTTCTCAAGACCTGAAAGCAGTAGTAGTGAAGAGCGGGCGTCTACAGGGAAAAAATTCAAGCGATGACGATTGTGACAGCAGCAGTTAGAACAGAACAGGCGTCAGTATCCTGATTTGTGTGAAACTTTGGAAAGAACAGGCTTAAGCTTCAACCACATTTTCAAACCAAAGTTGGGACCCTTAAACATCATACAAATCTGATGAGATTTTGTAGGTTAATTAGTTTTCAGCAGCATCAAGTACTGGAAGCAATGCCAGAGTGAAAGTGTTAACTTCATATACAGTATATTGCCAAAAGTTCTGGGACACCCCTCCAAATCATTGAATTTTGGTGTTCCAATCACTTTCATTTCCACAGGTGCATAAAAGCAAGCACTGAGGCATGCAGACTGCTACTATAAACGTTTGCGAAAGAATGGGTCGCTCTCAGGAGCTCAGCGAGTTCAAGCCTGGTACCGTGATAGGATGCCACCTGTGCAATAAGTCCATTCGTGAAATTTCCTCGCTACTAAATATTCCACAGTCAACGGCTAGTGGAATTATAACAAAGTGGCAGCAATTGGGAACAACAGCAACAAAGTTGTAGGCCACGTAAAATCACAGAGCGGGGACAACGCATGCTGAGGTGCACAGTGTGCAGAAGTTACCAACTGTCTGCAGAGTCAATAGTTATATCTCCAAACTTCGTGTTGCCTTCAAATTAGCTCAAGAACAGTGCGTAGAGAACTTCATGGAATGGGTTTCCATGGCCTTACATCACCAAGTACAATGCAAAGTGTTGGATGCAGTGGTGTAAAGCAATCTGATGGATGAGTCTGGGTTTGGTGGTTGCTGGGAGAATGGTACTTGCCTGACTGCATTGTGCCAAGTGTAAAGTTTGGTGGAGGGGGGATTATGGTGTGGGGTTGTTTTTCAGGGGTGGGGCTTGGCCCCTTAGTCCCAGTGAAAGGAACTCTTAATGCTGCTGCATCCAAAGCCATTTTGGACAATTTCATGCTCCCAACCTTGTGGGAACAGTTTGGGGATGGCCCCTTCCTGTTCCAACATGACTATGAACCAGTGCATAAGGCAAGGTCCATAAGGACATGGATGAGCGAGTCTGGTGTGGAAGAACTTGACTGGCCTGCAGAGAGCCCTGACCTCAACCCAACAGAACACCTTTGGGATGAATTAGAGTGGAGACTACGAGCCAGGCCTTCTTGTCCAACACCAGTGCCTGACCTGACAAATGCTCTCCTGGGAGAATGGTCAAAAATTCCCATAAACACACTCGTAAACCTTGTGGATAGCCTTCACAGAACAGTTGAAGCTGTTATAGGTGCAAAGGGTGGGCCAATTCTATATTAAATCCTATGTATTAAGAATGGGATGTCATTAAAGTTCATGTGTGTGTAAAGGCAGGTGTCCCAGTACTTTTGGCAATACAGTGTATATTCACCCCACTTTAGTGCGCAGGTATTTTGGAAAGTCAAAGAGCTCCGGGTCAAGTTTTGCTGGGCACACCTTAGCTGGAGCATGATGTTATGGCTATAAGCAAAACAACACACTGCCTACTCGTATCACAACATCTCTCAAGTGCTCATTCTGCACCAGCATTGGAAAATCATTTACATCAATAGCAGCTGCTGGAATAACTAGAGGCTGCACACGCTGTTGCTGTTGTAAAGCACCTTGTTGGGGGATCTCTACAATCAAAATGTCCTTCTGACTGTGCACCTGAAGCTCCACCTCACACCGAACCCACCTACTACACATGACCCGCTGCTTCACCGCTATCATGTGAGTAGTGTGACCTCTCCTCACCTGTGGCTGGTATATTATTTATGATCAGTGAGCCAGCTAGACCTCCACCACCTTTCCATTTGCATAATTCAGTAAGTCTTTTAAAAAGACTGGCATTCGTGCCTAGAATTACTGGAGTCTGGTCTGGGCTTCATGAACCAGGGCAGAACAAAACCAGAACTCCTGTAAATAGAGCTTCACTGACAGGAAACAATTCTTTAGGGAATTCCATGTCCACAACCGAATATCCTGTTAGGGGCAGCTGGTCTCACTGTAGCCCCGCAGAGCCAATCTTGATACCAGAAGAATAGGTACCTCTGGCAGATATTGCAGGTATCAGCCCTCAAATATAATTGCCTCCTGTGACCCACTATTCAACAAAGTATCACATGTGTGTCCATTGCCTTTCACTCTTACTATAGAGTACAGGGCAACTAATCCTTCAGTAACAGCTTGTATCCATTGAAAATTCACCAAGCTTCTCTTAATAGAGCAGCTTTGATCGGAGACTCCGAGCTGGTTACTTCTTTATCTTTACTTTTCTGCAAAGACCACATCAGCTTCTGAATCACACTTCTGGGTGTTCACCATACCTTTGGCAAAAAAAATTGCTAACACTCCTCTAAGATGGTTTTGTTGAGCTGGAGAGGAGACAATCAGAGGTGAGGTAAGGAGCATGCACTGATGCAGTGCTCCTTACAATCAGAGGTGAGGAGCATGCACTGATGCAGTGCTCCTTACAATCAGAGGTGAGGAGCATGCACTGATACAGTGCTCCTTACAATCAGAGATGGATGCTTTCTGGTCACTTGTTAAGACTCTCATCACTTTTCCCTATTCGCTGTACCTTCTGCTGCAGCCTCTTCACCTTCTTTCTTAATGCTACAACTTCTGAGTTAATACTGCTGTCTGAGACAGAAGGACAAGCTGGCTGACTAGATTCTGCCAGTTCTGGTGTGTTTTGGACTAGCTTAGCATATGTTGTCTTCAACTATTTTACCTCTACTATCAGATTTTGAACCAAGGAGGTTTCAGACTGAAATCGCTTATACATTTCAACCTGGCATACCATAGCATTTAATTTATGAGAAATTTCAACCTCTTTGGCATGAATTTCTCAGTGGAGATAATAATAATAATATTGAACACTTTATTAATCCCTGTGGGGAAATTCTTTTTATGCCTCCCTCAACTTGCTCT